TCGACGAACCACACGCCCAAGTCCATCTTGGGCATGTGTGGCGTCGACCGACCAGAGCAGTGTGGTATCTCGGACTCGGTGCCGAGAACCACATGACGGGCTCCAAGGACTCCTTCTCCGAGCTCGACGGCGATGTTACGCAGACGGTGAAGTTTGGTGACGGCTCAAGGGTGGCTATCCAAGGGCGCGGCACCATCATCTTCGAGATGCCGAATGGGGAGCACCACGCACTAACGAATGTATACTACATCCCTGCAGTGCGTTGCAAAGATCATCGGCATTGGTCAATTTGGATGAGCGCTGTAGCGAGGTTCGATCAAGGATGGCGCTCGAGGATCGGAGACCGGAGCAGCGACGACTCGCCAAGGTGAAGAGGTCCTCTGAATCGGTTGTACCGCTTTCGACCGAAGGTAGAGCGAGCCGGTTTGCCCTGGCGGCAAGGCACTCGAGGAACTGTGGATGTGGCATGCCAGTTCGGACATCTCGGCTTCGACGCGCTTTGGTCGGTCGGGAAGATGGTCCGAGGGCTACCCTACATCAAACACGGAGGCGAAGCCGTGTGATGTTACTGGCCGAGAAGCGAGGAGGCTACCTTTCCCAAAGGCGCCAAGTATCGCGCGCGAAGAAGCTCGAGCTAGTTCACGGCGACCTCTGCGGGCCAATCACGCCTGCTACATGCGGTGGTCGGCGGTACTTCCTCCTACTCGTGGACGATTGTAGTCGCTACATGTGGCTACAACTCCTGACGAGCAAGGACGAAGCGGCGGTGGCGATCAAGAAGTTCAAGACGCGCGCGGAGGCCGAGAGCGGCAAGAAGCTCCTCGACCGAGGACTCGATTGCGGTGGCGAATTCACCGGTGGAGTTTGTTACGTATCGCGCGGATCAAGGTGTGGGGCAACATCACACCGCTACCGCATCGCATTCGCCACAACAAAATGGCGTGGTGGAGCGACGGAACCAGACAGTGGTCGGCATGGCCCGATCCATGATGAAGGCCAAAGGTATGCCGGCAAAGTTCTGGGGAGAGGCGGTGACCACGGCGGTGTTCATCCTCAACCGCGCTCCAACCAAAGCCCTAACGGGCTAGACGTCGTTCAAGCTTGGTACGGAGCAAGCCGAACGTGTCATTCCTCTGGACATTCGGTTGCATCGCCACGCCGGAAGACGGTGAACCTCACCAAGTTGGAGGATGTGAGCACACCCATGGTGTTCCTGGCTACGCGGAGGGTACCAAGGCGCACCGGCTCTATGACCCACGCGGAGACAAGGTGATCTGTCTCGCGCGACGTTGTGTTCAACGAGGAGGCGCTTTGGGACCGGCACATATCCGAGCACGGGGGGAAGCGGAGGCTTCACCAACACCTTCGTCGTCGAGCACTTGGTCATCCACGGCGGTGGAGACGTCATGGAACAGGTGCCACGACTCCGGAAGGAGCGTCGAGCACTCCGGCGGTAGAGTCGAGCACTTCTGGGGCAGTGCCGAGCACTTCAGGAGGGATGCCGAGCACTCCGAGAGGAGTGTCGAGCACTTCTGGAGGAATTCCGAGCACGCCAGAGTGGAGCCAGGTGGTTCTCTGAAGGGCGGCGACCACTTCAGACGGGTACCAGAGCACTCCGTGGCGGAGCCAAGACGTCTTACTGTGGTTCCAACCACTCCAAGACTGAGGCTGGGCACTCCTACAGTGTGGCCGAACACTACAGGAGTTATGACGAGCAGTCCAGAAGCAGTGCCGAGCACTTTAGGTGCTATGTAGGGCACTTCGGCGGAAGAAGGAACTCCATCACCCCTGATCGAGTTCGCCTCACCTCCAAGTGACATCACTGAGTTCGTGGACGCCTACCACGAAGGTGAGGAGTTGAGGTTCCGCAGTCGGACGACATCGTCGGCGCGCACAGTCCCTCGTGTATGGCGGGTAGGTCGCTCAACGACGCAGAGAGCGCTACTCGTCGGCAGAGGAATCACCCACGTTTGCGCTTAGCCGAAAGCGATGGAAATGGCGACGGCAATGTCTTTGGAGGAGATGAAGGCGATCGAGGAAAACGAGACTTGGCGGCTCATCGATCCACCCTGTGTGATGCCGTCCGATCAGCCTGAAGTGGGTGTACAAAGTCAAAAGGACGAGCTCGGCCGCCATTGTCAAGTACAAGGCGCGCCTCGTCGCCGAGCTTTTGTCCGCCATGAGGGCATCGACTTCGAGGAGGTCTTTGCACCAAAGATGGCAAGATGATGAGTCGGTCCGTTTGCTACTTGCTTTGGCGGTAGCAAAGGATCGGGCGCGTCCATCACATGGACGTTAAATCGGCCTTCCTCAACGGGCGAATGGCGGAAACGGTCTTCGTCGAGCAACCTCCGTGGTTCATTGTTAAGGGAGAGGAGCACAGGTGCTCCGATCGCAAGAAAGCGCCTACGGGGTGAGGCAAGCCCCTCGAGCATGGAACGCCAAGCTTGACACCACGGCGGGCGAGCTTGGGTTTCAGAGGTGCGCAACCGAGCACGCGCTCTACACGCGATGACGGGGGAAGCAAGAACTCGTGGTCGATGTGTATGTGGATGACTTAATCGTCACCAACGCGCGCACGGAGAATATCAACAACTCAAGCGAGAGATGGCAGCTCATTTCGAATGAGCGATCTCGGCGCTCTTCTCCTACTACCTCGGCATCGAGGTGAGACAGGGAAGGAGGAACTCACGCCGGGCAAAGCGCGTATGCCTCAAGCTGTTGGAGAGGAGCGGCATGGTGGAGTGCAAGCCACGCGTGACTCCGATGGAGGAGCGGTCGGCCGACGAAGGATAGCACCACGGCGAAAGTAGATGCAACACTCTCACCAAGCATCGTCGGCGGTCTCGCGCTACCTAGTCCACATAAGGCGGACATTGCGTTTCGTCGTGGGCTACGCCGGGCCGCTTCATGGAGGATCCCAGAGAGGATCATCGGGCTGCGTAAAGCGGCTACTACGCCACGTCAAGGGGACGGTGAATCATGAAATCATCTTCCCAAAGATCGGGGAAGTAGGTCGCAACTCACGGTGTTCAGCCGACATGAGACATGGCGGGGACATCGACGGACGACGACGCGAGCACCTCGGCGTATTTCGTCTTCCTCGGGTCAGCCCCAATTTCATGGTCGTCAAATGAAATGTAAGGTGGTAGCGCTTATTTACGTGCGAGGCGAGGTGCGTAGCGGCGGCTGCGCAATGGCGTGCAAGTTGTGTGGCTACGCTGCTCTTTGCCGGTGAGCTAACCGGCGTGGAAGCTCACCCACCAAAGACCGATGGTGGACAACCAGCCCGCCATCGCCCTCGCGAAGAATCCCGGCTCGCACGACCGAGTAAACACATCGACGTGAAGTTCCACTTCCTTAGGGACTGTGTTGATGGAGGACGATCGTCATCGAGTTTGTCAAACCGGTCGGCAACTCATGGACGCTCCTCACCAAGCCTTTCGGAAGACTTCGACTCACGGAGTCTGAAGGAGATGATCGGCATGGAGGGATTACAAGGTTAGCGGAGGATTAGGGAAGATTGTTAGCTAATCTCATCGACATCTTGTGAGAACACAATGAGAGGAAGACGGCGCCGACTTAGTTGCCTCTGTGTGTGTGAGCACAACAAAGGAAGGCGGCGTAACTTTGCCCCTCGCTGTGATACTGAGAGAGCCCAGAGGTGCAGGCGCCAGACGGCTCACCTACAAAGATCAGAGAAGAGCAGTAAAGTGGCCGCTTGCAGAGTCGAGCCTGTCCAGTTATCTAGTTATGTGTGCGGCATGGGCGCCGCACATGGACTAGATAGTTAGAGTTGTATAAATAGACATGTATGGCAACTCAAGAAAGAGAGCTTAGATTTGCCATCACACGACAGGCTTCGCCAACGTTTGTTGCCTTGTATTGTGCGTGCTTGCTCTGTTCTCTCTTCCTCTTCTAGCTCGATCCGTAGTGTGTGGGTACGGACAACGCCGGCAGATGCGTGGTCTCAGACGGCTAGTGGGTGCTCGACAACACTAGCGCGTGCTTTCGGCGAGACCGACAAGTGCTCCACTACTTTGAGCCGGTGGTCGGCAAGATCGGCCGGAGTGGTTCACTATCGTGAGCCGGTGATCCTGTGAGACCAACGGAGTGGTCTCGAAGATCATCTCGGTGGTCGGGAGGCTAACTGTGGGCCAACAAAGTCAACGTATGGCATAGCTTGCAAACGGCTTATCACTTACACGTTACCAGTGTCTTGAAGAATGGTTTGTTGATTTTTTCTAAGTGGGTCGAATAGGAGATACCAGTGGATGTCAAGAAGTTTATTTGTATATCTTGAACCAATATTTCTGAGACTAAAGTTTCTGCTGTGGATATACAATATTTTAAATAAGGCATTATCATATTTGACTTTTTTTTTTCTGTTGGCGCTATGTGATGGTATTGTGTGTATTAATATATGCGGCACAAAAGATTGTTCTCAATTATTGACTAGTGCATTATAGTAATGTTAAACCCTATTTATATTTTCTCAAATGTGATTGAGAAAGTAAATGCATAATCTTTGTGCGATATGGCTAGATATCATTTCATGCATGCTTTTTACAGTTTTCCATTAATCAGATAGTCCTATATATTCCCTTTAAGGCTTGACTCTCTTTGACTTAAAAAAAACCCGAAAGCTTCCTCTCTTTTACCAAGAGTGGGAAGATTAGATCCTTGCTCACGGAAGACCGCTAGATGGTTGTGTTGTTCTGATCCCGAATTGTTTTTGAGGTCAAGTAACCTGAATAAGGTAAGGGAAGTGACAGTTTTTTTTTTTTTTTTGGTTTGCCTTGCTTATTTCTTGCCGATGCAAATCTCAACTTTCAACTTCAGTTGGATTGGATATGCACTTATGTTATTAACTTTACAACAGGGGACACAAATTCGTGGAAGTTATGGATCTGAAGGCTATCCAAGAGTGGACATCACGCGAAGCAGCAGAGTTCAGGGCACTTTTTTCCGAGTTAAGGAATGAAAAATCATGTGACAGGATGGAAGTGCTTGAAAAGAGGTTCCCTGCAAAGACTATTCACCAGTTGAGAGATAAATATGCTGAAGTCTTTGCAGATATGCTCTATGGTGAGATAGATGATGAACCGAGCAGAGATGACACAACTAGTGATTTGCGTGATTGGTACAAACTTTTAGAAGGAGACACCCATGACTCAGTTCTGGGACCATCAGTGGAAACATCTTTGTTCCAACCTTCCAAACAATTGGTATTAAAAGCAGTTGGAGATCAGGAGGGAATTCAAAAGTCACACTGCAAATCATCAAGGAAGGAGAGACAAACTTGGACTGCTGAGGAACACAGGTCCCCCCCTCCTCAATCTAGTTTTATTTTATTTCTTGTTCCTTTATATTTTACTTCACAGCTTATATGGTTATGTATGCCTTAAATGAATAAATAGATGCATAAGTAAAGAATTATTTCTGGCCAATCTGTAGATTTCCACTACATATGGCATTGCTGTTCCACTAAAATGCACCATAGTGGGTTGAGTTTGACTGAAAACTGATAATTGTGAAATTATGATATACATATATAAGGCCATAAGGGTAACCAAAACTCTAACGCTGTTATCTTCAGGCACATCACTAATATTCAATATGCTACATATAATATAGTATCTTGAAACTTTGATATTTGTCTTTTTATTAGGAAGATATGTCAGAACAATGCTTCAATTATAGATCAAGCAATATTTGATGGTTTGCTGTGTATAACTATTAAAGAAGCTATGCCACTATCCCACGAAATGTTTTAGCCAAAAATTGTCATGCCAAAGGAAGTACTTTTGCTTACATTGCATGACAAGCACCTATAAATGACTTGCTCTTTAGTTTGGAAACTCGAATTGTTTGCCCATTCCAAATTGTAAGTTGTTTTAGCTGTCCTAAGTCAAACTTCTCTAGCTTTCGACATAGTTTGTAGAAAATGCACAAACATCCCACATCAAATTAGATTCATTAGATACACCATGAAGTATATTTTGATGGTGCATTTGTTTGATATTGTACATGTTAGTACATTTTCTATAAACTTGATCAAAATTAGATAAATTCGACATATGACAAAGCTAAAATGACTTACAGTTTGAAACGGAGGGAGTATGATGTTTACAGCTATCAATTATCATACAAGGATGTCATATTAGGTCATTAAAAGGAAAGACTAAAAACATCATTTATGCCGACCCTTTGTTACTAAAATGGCTTGTCAAAGGCATACTTGCAAAATGATGTGGTACTTTTCTTTCCTATTTTACTAAACCTGTTTTCACTTTCTTTTGCTGGGAAATCTTTTGTTTCGTACCACAGTGGTCCTTTGTAGTGAAAATGCCCCTCTTTTCTTTTATATATTCACATGTTGTCAAATGTCAATTGAGCATCCGCACCAGCTTTTTCAAATAGAAATATGTATTGTGGATATTGTAAATTGAATCCATATGAGACTCAGATGGAATCACTTGTGTTTATAGTCTATTGAATTAGAATTTGTAGTAGTCACTTCTCATTGTAAAAATTAGTTATCACTTCATTGCCTAGTAGAATGCAGCTTATCAATCTACCTGCAAATGCAGGCAGTTTCTACATGGTGTACAACATTTTGGGCGAGGTGAATGGAAATCCATTTCCAAGTATTTTGTCCCTCCAGGACCCCAACTCAGTTGGCAAGCCATGCTCAGAAGCATTTCGACAGAATCAAGAAGAATGAAGTGGATGATAGGAGGCAGAGGCATGCCATCAATGATGTCAGGCTTGTGAATCGTGATATGAATAATACTTCCCACTCCTATACTGAACCAGGGAAAGGAAAACCAAATGCGTCAAGCATCCCACTGCCAGTCCTAACAGAGGACATGGATATTCTGCATGATCTGACACACGGAATGCCTAATTTTGGGCAAGCGAGTAACAGTCCAAGTAACTTAGCAGGACAGATAACACATTGCAATCATACAATCGAGAGCTTCTTCCAGTGGCAAGGCCCAGGCACCCCGTCACCAAGAGAGCAGTGGAATGTCCTGCTTGCTCAAAGCAGGGCAGAACATTGGACCTGGCCTCGCCGCAAGAGACGTCTTGGTGCAATCACCAAACGTCGGCGCAGGAATAACAGAAGAACACTCCCCGATGTCCTCAGTGCCCAAATCCCACAAGAAGTTCTGCAATTTGCACAAGGAAGTGACAGCGGAGCCAAGTTATCATGTGAGATGGTGCCCATCAAAGGGCGCGACCTACGCACAACCATACCGCCATTTTGAAGTTCAGTGGAACCCTGTTGCCTGGTAGAGCATGCTTTGAATATGCTCTTCCAGGTGGGTTGGCTAGCAGTGTCAGGCTGAACTTTGATTGCCTGCTTTCATAATAAGGAAGTCGTTTATGGCTTCATCAGCATCTGGCCCATGGTGTAATATATGGGAAACCAGTTAATGTTTGCCTTTATATGGTACAATTATGTTATAACTATCTATCGTTGCTTTTGTTTGAGATGTTTATTTGACTGTTGGGTCGTTGAAATCTTTTTTTAACCATTGGGCTGTTGATCTTTTTTTTTTGGTTATACTTGCTAAGCTGTACCGCTTGTGTTCTCGGGTGGTTCTGAACTTACGAAACCCAAAGGTCGCGGCGAAATGCATGCCTGCCGGATTACCAGCTCTGAGACCCTCCGTCCCTAAATGCCAATCATGCCTTGTTACGAATGCGACGGTTATTTAGGGACATAGGGAGTAGTAACTTGTAGACTATGCTGTTGCTAGCTGGGCTGCTGGGAACTTGTTGCGTCCAAGTGTGCTAATGCCAATCATGCCTTGTTACGATCGCTTATTTGCTTCAGTCATTGACGTGCTTTTTTATCATTCTTGATTTCTCTTTTCTACCTCTGGTTAGAATGTTAGATCCCATTTGGAAGAAACATTTTTTTCTACAGGATCTGAGAAAAATCCTTACATCCAAACATGAACTTTGTTTTTTTAATTGAACAGAATGGTCTGATAAAACAAAGAACCTTTTTCTTTCCGAAACATGAAAGGTTGAAAGCAAAGAACCTGGTACTAGTACTTTGTCAAGTGGTGGAAGGAACCTGTGGGCTTGGCATCTTTCTCCTTTTGCAGCCTCTCGAGAGGAGAAAGCTGTTGGCCTGTGGCATCTACAAAGCCGGACTATTCTTTCAGCAGTGCAGGCGTGCAGCCCACACCGACCCAGCTACAGCTGTCCCCGCTGGACGGCCCAGGGAACTTTGCCCTTACGTGTTGTGCTGCGCTCGCTGACATGCGGGCCACCAAGCTAGGGTTTAGAGGCTTTTACCTATGTTACATTAAAAAAGTTTTAAATTACGCATAAGTCATTCAAAAAGTTGAGCTCCCACGAGTGCCATCGTTCTAAACTTCTTTGCTCTCCAAGCCATTCCATTCGTTTTTCTATTTAACGGTGTCAAACAGACAGGTAAAATGACCATTTTACCCTACAATAGGGTCTGTTTGTCAACCACCCAAACTTTCTCTTTTTCTTGCGCCTCCATTCCGCGCTCCCGTGCTTCCTTCGTCATCGTGGCCGGGCGCGGCGGGGTGGGGGCCAACGACCAGCTGAGCGACGGCGTGCGGCGCGCTCTGGCGTTCCAGGACGCCATGGGGCGGCGCCTAGCGTGGAACGCCTCGGACGCCTTGGCGCAAGCGCGTGCTCGTGGGCGGGGTCTCTCGCGAGAATGGCCACGTGGCGGTGCTGCGGCTCCCCGGTGACGCTCGGGGCGGTCTCAGCGGGACGCTACGGAACTTGACGGCGCTTCCACACGCTCAGACTCCGCCTCAACGGGCTCTCCGGGCGCTCGGCCGACCGCCTCCCCGCCGCCGCGCTTGAGCGTCTTCCTCAAGCGGAACAGTACAGTCGCCAGGCGGGGTTCCGCGCAGCGATTCTCGTGCTCCGGGGCTCATCAGGCTCTCGCCGACGGAACGACTGTCGGGGGCCCATCCCGTGAGCTCGGCAACCTCACTCACCTCGTGGTCTGCTCCTTGAGAATAATAGCTTTTTCCGGCGAGATTTCGGATGTGAAGCTACCGCCGCGCAATAGCTTCAATGTTTCGTTCAACCGGTGAACGGATCCATCCCGGCCTCGCCCGGCCACGGCCGCGCTCCGCGTTCCTCGGGACGGGCTTGTGCGGCGAACCCTTGGGGCCTTGCCTCGGCGAGGTTTCCCTTTCCCTGCGCCCGGTAAGTGACGACGTCGCCGCCGACGCCTTTGTTCGATGGCGATGGCGGTGGCGGCGGCGGCGGCACCAACAGTGGAAGTGGGGAAGAAAGTGGCCATAAGAGCGAGAAGCTCCGGTGGCGCCATTGCCGGAATTGTCAGAGGCTCCGCCTTGGCGCCGTGACTTCTCCTCTTCCTCCTCGTCTACCTCTCGCAGTGGTCGGGGGGCACTAGGACGCTTGGTCTCCGGAGATGCCGCCGCCGCTCCCGCTACCGTTGTTATTCTTCTTGGCGGCATGAAAGCTCCCGAGATGACCGGCCGAAGCGCTTCAGAGCGTCGTTGACCACAATAGGCCACCCTAACGCGCCCTATCGGCGGTCGGACGTCCCGAAGAAGTCGGTCTTCTTTGGGTCGGTGGCCGCCGTGGCACCTTTTGTGAGATTGGTGAGCTTCAGCACGAGTTCATTGTGCCACTCCGTGCTTACAACTAGAGCAAAGATGAAAAGCTACTTGTTTACGACTTCATGCCCATGGGGAGCCTCTCTCTGATCTGCACGGTGAGATCTTAACTCCCCATCCCCCAAGTTTTGTTGCATATCCGCTTATGATTCTAGCATAACCATTTTCTTTGTCGCGTGTGCTTGTGAGTACCATGGGCATTGCATGTTCTTGGAGCACTCCAGCGTGGTGGCGGAGCTTCGACAAGCGCAGTGTCCGGTTCATGACGTGGTTCTTTGGAGCGGTCCGAGCTCGGGAAGGAGACATGCTCTGCCGTACATGCAAAGACTACATCCCCGCCATCGCGTGACCTCTCGAGTCCTCCCGCGCCGAGGCCGAGCTCGTCATCTTCTCCGCCATCGACGACCTGCTAGCCAAGACCGGCCGCCGCGAGCGCGCTCTAGGGGGAGCTCCGCCCCAGCCGCCACGGTGGTGCGGCGTGGAGGCGGCTACGCCTGGCAGCCATGGCATGTGGTTTCGAAGCGGCTGGCCGGCTCGGCCATGAGCACGGGCGAGCTAGCTCATCTCTGCAGTCTGAAGCGCAAGGCTGGGCTATGGAAGCGAAGCTCCACCCGGCATTGGCGTGGCGTGAGGGTGGGGCATGGGCGAGGAGGAAGGTGGAGCTGGTCACGGTGGCGGTTTGGCTCCACTAGAGAGAGAAAGAAGGAAGAGGATAGGACAAGAGAAGGGTATTTTGGACGTTTACTCTGACCGGGCCCATATATAAGGGCTGCCAAACGGTACCGGCTTGGAGAACAAAAAAAAAAGAACGATAGCACTTGTGGAAGCTTAACTTTTTTTAATGACTTATACGTAATTACAAAAATTTTTAATGGCTGACAGGTAAAAGCCTTCTTTTGCAAGTCAGGCGTTCAACGCCAGGAAAACGAAGAGAGACAAGGGGGGACCGGGGGAGGCCGGAGCCCCACGCTACGTGGTCCATTTCCAGTCCAGTCTCCAACAAGGCCGGAGCCGAAGCGAGCACGCTGATCGATTCCGATCCGCACACGCCCGCCCGCCGCGAATGGGCGATGCGGAGGCCGCCTCGAGGGCGGGAGGAGAGGGGGGCGGCGGCGGCCGCGGGGATGAGGGTGTTCTCGCGGAGTACTACGCGCTCTGCGCCGGCGGCGGGATGCTGGCGGCGGGCGCCACCCACCTCGCCATCACCCCGCTCGACGTGCTCAAGGTCAACATGCAGGTGAGTGGATTCTTGCTCAAGTTGCAGTCCTGCGGGGCTGCCGTGCGGCACCTTGGCCGGGGAGGTTGATCTGAGGCCGTTATCTCATGGGTTTGTACGGCGGTTGTAGTTTCCTAATGCTATGCTAATTTGGGGTTTTCTAGCATTTCTGTTTTAGCAGTGAGCGTGATATGTTAACAGTGCACTGAAACTTATACCGCTGAAATGTTTTTGTCGAGAATCATTTCAGTACAAGAACTTTGTTAAAGATGTTGAAATAGAAGTAATATGCTTGGCTTTCAAATGAACAGAAGATGGAATTGAAGGATAATTGTATATTTCAAATAAGGAAACCAATAACAGTTGCAAGCCTTCCGATTCTCTACATATAAGAACTGATTTGGAAGAAGAAAAAAGCGGTTTGTAATTACTTTTCCTTCCTTTGTTTTCCAGGTGAATCCAATGAAGTATAACAGTATATTTTCAGGACTAAATGTTCTTGTGAAAGAAGAGGGGACCTTCGTCACTTTGGAGAGGCTGGGGAGGGAAATTTTTTGGCTATGGTGTTCAGGGTGGCTGCAGGTTTGGCCTCTATGAGTATTTCAAGAAGCGGTACTCTGACATGCTAGTAGACAGTAACAAGAGCACCATATACTTCCTTAGCAGTGCCTCTGCTCAAATCATAGCTGATGTTGGCCTGTGTCCGTTTGAATCGGTCAAAGTCCGTGTTCAGACTCAGCCCATGTTTGCAAAAGGTTTGGTTGATGGCTTTCCAAGGGTGTATGCAACTGAAGGCCTGTCTGGGTAAGCTATCATGTAAAAGATAATATAGATTGTTTATCCCAATTTGATGCATTCTGTGTGTGCTTGAAGATACAAGCCTTCATCTACCGTCCTGAGAAAGTACATGTCTTGTTCTATTGCAGCTTTTACAGGGGGCTTCTACCTCTTTGGGGACGGAACCTTCCATGTAATTGAACTTCCCACTATTCTGTAGTTATTCCATTTCACAAAATGCTGCTTGATCATATAAAGTAATGTATATGATAGTTATATGACTTGATGTTGCATTAGATCTGATTAGTATTGAATCTTAGCATTTTTTTCTTTCCAAAGTTGCTCCATATATGTGTGTAAGAATGAATATGAGCTTCTTTGCCTTCACTGATTTTTTCAGACTGAATTACATTTCTTACCCTGGTTATTAAGTCTGAGAACCAATCACTTCTGCATCAGTATCTCTACTGTCAAAGTTCTGTCTTTTGAAGATCATGGTATTTCTGCTCAGTGAAGTAGAAAGTCTTAGAATCAGCATCAGCGATCTGTCCCTCCTTCTAACATCTTGAAAAGTCCCCTCTGTGCAATGTTTGAATATTTCCCCCGTTTCTCTACTGTGTCAGTTCATTAATGCATCTTACACTTTCGAGATAGCATTCTTATCTTTTGGATGTCTTTTATCTTTTTATTTTTAGGGAATGATATCTTTTATTTACCGTGTTTTCTTCTTCTTGTAGTTTCTATGCTTATGTTTTCGTCTTTTGAGCATACCGTGGACTTCCTATATCAGAAAGTTATTCAAAAGAAAAAGGAGGACTGCTCAACAATCCAGCAGCTTGGTGCTACTTGTCTGGCTGGTTATATCTCTGGTGCCGTTGGTACTGTTGTTTCAAATCCTGCAGATAATATTGTCTCATCCCTGTACAACAAAAAAAAGCTGAAAATATCATACATGTAAGTACATAAATATAAATTTCCAGCCTAAGAAATCATTGTTGTCAAACTCCACCGTATCATTTTTCTAATGATCTCATCTTATGCTTTCAGGCTGTGAAAAGTATTGGATTTCGCAATCTGTTCACAAGAAGCCTGCCCATTCGGATCACCCTTGTTGGACCCGTCATAACCATGCAATGGTTCTTCTACGATACTATCAAGATATTGACTGGATTGTAAGTCTACTGTTTCCATGTTAGTTCAAGTGTATTCATGTTTTATAAAATAAATAAGTATGGTTTGAACATCATACAAGTGGATTTTAGTTTTACAATGCCGAACTATTTCATGGATCAAGCTTGATGTCACACTATATGATTATAAAATGACCTGCTTATCCCGTCAAGAAAAGAAATGGTGTATGCCAGTGCAGGTATCTATTAAGGAATAAATTGAAAATGTGTTGAAATAAAGAACAAGTTCTATTGAATTGGTAAAAGATGAAAAATTGTTGAAATTAAGAACATGAGTACCATATAATTGCATTAAATTAATAAAAACATGGAAAGGTGTTGAAATGAAGAGCATGAACATCATATAATTACTAACTGTTAGCTGGTGTTTGGTTTCTCTACATGAGCACCGTACATTCAGGTACACCAATAGTGCACAACTACAAATTAGACAGAAAACATGTGCTCTTCCTTGATATCTATCTGAATATGGCAATATCCATTTCTGTTATTGTTGCTTGTTGGCATGCTGCATTTGCTTAGATTCCTGATACATTTCTGTAATAACTTTATTAAGACTGTAAATCTGCTCATTTCAGGCCACCGAGTGGAGGGCTTCCGCGGGAACTGGAAGACATATAATCTGACCAGTTTGAGATAGGCTTCTCGATGCACTTTTTGGCATCATACGGACGAGTATTTGTCTATGGTTCTGACTTGCTAGGGGAAGAGTATGATTGGTAGTTTCAGGGGAGAGCCAACTGACCCGAATACATCATGTGTAAGATTTCTGCGTACGAAAGATTTCCTCGTGTTGTATGTTTTTCCACGTCTTAAACAACCTTGAGATTCAGCACCCCTCCAGGTACAGCATTGTGGCCAGGTGGTGCTTTAGTAAGTGCATCCCTTATACTCTTTATTTTGTAGGATTTGATGTATGAGAAGAATGCACTTCTGATGTATACACGTAACCTTGACTGTAAATAATCCCTTTGAAGGACCGAAATTTGAAGTGGAATTCTGTGTTATGCTAGTGCTCTTAATTTTTATTTTCCTGTCACATGGTTGATATTTCCTTAAGGTATTCATCTTTACCTTGTAACTACCTCCAAGCCATCTTTATATGACGTTTTGGACAACAGAATAGAACTGCAAACAAGCCCTGGAACGTCATTTAAAGTTGACTGGATGGAGTATGTTCAGATTCAGCGGCAATGCCAGCTGTCTCATTGCATAAACTTTCCTTTGGGCAAAAGTTTAGCCCTGTCATGTCGAATCTTTAAATACCAATTAAGAGTATTAAACATAGGTTAATTACAAAACTAATTACACGAGGCTAATTTACGAGACGGATCTATTAAGTTTAATTAGTCCATGATTGCATTGGGACCTTTGCATCTTTTTTGGGCCAAACCCTCTCTCATTTATTGCAACAATAGTATTCGTGGTTTATTGCAAGAATTCTTACAGCTTTATCAAGCAAAATGGAAACAAAAATGCAAGGATATATGTACCTCATGCCTTGGCCACTAGACAGTCCTTATCAGTCCCAGTGCAGGAATGAAATAATTTACAATCACGAGCTGTAGGAACAAGATTTCTGGAGCTACTTCTGGTGGATCTTCACGTCAGGGTTGCGCATCGGCCTGAGCCACATGTCAGCCATAACCCTCGACGAGATGCTCCACAGCACTTCATTCCCGGCCTTCCCCGCCACCGCGGCTCGGTTCTTCCTGCCAGCCTTGCCTAGCCCGTAGGCGACGAGCCAGTGCATCGCCGTGAGCCGCTGCTTCTCGCCGTCCCACATGTTGCGCCGGTCAGGCGACTTCAGCCGCAGGCCTCCGAGGTGCAGGTTTGCCACCTTGAACCTCGGCTCGTCGTCGCTGCTGCCGCCGGCCCGCACGGCCAGGATGATCACGACTGACGGTGCGCCCACGGCCTCGTACCGGCGCAGGGGGTCCCTCAGCTGGACCACCACGAGCAAAGTGACGGCGTCCACGCCGGCGCAGGCGGTGACCCACTCCTCCGGTGGCACGGCGGTGTCCAGAAGGTGCCCGGCCTGCGCCGTCTCTGGCGATACCTCAAACGGCGCCTGCTCGTCGGTCATGCCGGCCTGGACCTTGAGCGCTTCGATGGCCATCGTCTCTATCTTCTGCAGCGAGAACGCCAGGATCTCGTCGACGGTCACCGGCGCCTCCTGGGCGTTCCAGATGCCGGTGGCGATCCTTTCCTGGCGCCCGTAGTTCATCGCCACGGACATTGTCCGGAGCAACGAGACGGACTCGGCCGCGCTGGAGTTCGCGACGAGATCCTTGCTCCGTGCGCTGATGATCGCGGAGGCCATGCCCTCGAACGCGATATGTTCGGCTGTCTTGCCGACGACATCGTCCATGGAGATGAGCGCGCCCAGCTTCGCGCACAGTGCCTCAGACCCGCCCGCGCACAGGCGTTGGAACACCTCGGCGCCACCGCCGGGAAGCTTCTGGTCGCGGAGAAGGAACGGTTTGGACAGTTGCATGGCGAGCTTGGGGAGCTCCTTCCGCTCCACCGGGATGTCGAATGGGTTCGTGGCCGCCAGGTAGCCGCCGTCCGGGTCTGCACGACGGGGCCGAGCCCCTTGCCGAGGTCGGAGATGTAGCACGTGGCGTCGACGCCAGAGCCAGGCTTCGAGCCGGACTTGAGGGAGGACACCTGAGGAGCCGACGACTTGGCGTTCGCGTCTTTGTCCTCTCCTTGTTCCATCAGCATCAAGAACTCTCTAGTCACTTCCTCCTCGTCGGCGTCGAGTACCGCGAGTGCCTCGTCCTCCTGCCGCTCCGGCGGCGACTTGGCGCCAGCCTCCAGCACATCTCCGAGCATCATATTCTCGAGGGCCTTGATCTGGTTGGTGATCGCCTCGAGTTCGTTGAGGCGCCACGCGTGCGCGCTGTCGAGCACTACCTCCTTGACCACCTCATCACCGGCAGCCGCTGAAGCATCCTCCTCCTCCTCCTCCTTCCCGGTTTCTTTCTCGTCGTCAACCTCTTCTTTCGGTTCATCCTCCTTCTCTTCTTGCACCTCTACGCCCTTGTCGACGATGTCGAACTCGAACTCCGGGAACTCCGAGTCATCGGCTTTCGCGTCCTCAGGCACGGGCTCCGGCTCTTTCTGCTGCTCCTGTTTGACCTCGGCCACCACCGGGCTCGGCTCATCGAGCTTGAAATCGTCAATGCCCAGCAAGTCCGGCGATGGCGCGCCCTTGGGCGGTATCAGCGCCGGCTCCGAGCGCACAACCTTGGGGCTCGTGATGCTGAACGACGACTTGCTATGCTTCCGAGCAAACGAGGAGGAGGACAAAGAGGAGCCAGTTTTGCCTGCAACGGCCGGTTGGCTGTACAGCCCGACACCTCCGTCATCCATGATCTGGAACGCCAGCTTGACGACGAGCTCGCCGCCCTTGGCCTTACCGGCGAGTGGGAACGCCATGTCCCACTGCCTGACGCGCTCCCCTTGCTGGCTCCTTTCCGCGGACTCCTTCACGAGAAGGCTCAAGTCCACAGCATTCCGGCCCAAGTCGAGCTCCGGCGCCTCCACGGCCACCGCAGATACGAGGAACAGCCGGGGCTCGAACTTGAGCGGCTTACCCGTGGCACCGCCCCGCTGCAGTAGAGGTTGCACCGGACGAAGAGCGTCTCCTCGAAGTCGGCCGCACCCTGGTGCACGCGCGACGGCATGGTCTGCACGGCGCCGTCGCGCGTCTCCTTCTTGCGCACGGCCACCGCGAGGCGCAGCCCATTCATGGACGTGGGCAGGCCCTCCGCGGCCACTACCTCCACGGAGAAGAGGCAGCCCATCCGCTGCATGCCGATGCGCGACAACGCGCGGATCGGCTTCCATCCCCGAATGCCCTTCTTCTCCCTGGCCACGGTCGGCAATGTTGTCACCGCGGCGAAGCTCTGGCTCTTGGACGGCAGCGCTACGCCCGCGTAGTCGTCGTAGTCGTCGTCGTCGTCATCGGCGTTCAAGTTCTTGTCGAGCTTAGGCCTCGACCGGAACGGCGACATGGATAGGCGGCGGGGGAGCGGGCGCGCCGTGGCGCGGACAGCGTCAGCGCCGCCTGCATTGCTGTCGCCGGCCGAGCGACGGAGCGCGAGCGAGGCGGTGCGGCGCTTGTTGTGCGCCTGGTAGAGCGTGTGGCTGAGTGCGTCGAGCTCACTGAGGATTTGGTCACCGTCGTCGGCCATGGCGATGCACCAGCGCTCGACCTCACCGGCAGCTGGTAGCTTGCTAAGTTCGTCAAGCCAAGAAGCAAGTAGAGTTTGTCTTGTGGATAAGTGAGGGAGTGGAGGAGACGGTGAAGTGTATGGCGGGATGAGAGGGAGGACGTTGACGGCGCCATGGTTGGTGACAGTTTTGGAAGGATTTGGAAGGAGCGGATGGAGAGAGAGAGGCGGGCAAACTTGTGGTGTTCATGTGGCCGTTGGTTTGGCGCCAAATTGATCCCGATATATATGCTGGATGGTGATGACTAGTTCGATTCCTTTCCTTGTGCTGTGAATGACACATCGGGCACACACAGGTTTTACAAGATAATGTGTGGATGATATGTGGCAGTCCACGTGGCACGCTGGATTAACAAACGTGATCTCGAATCTACTTGTGAGAAACTCGTCAGCAGGACCTGACAATCGCGATAATCGTGCCATCCACACAATCCACTGATAAAGTCATCAAATTTGAAAAATGGAAATGGGCGTGCTGCTGCTACTACTACAGTCAACGTCATAGATCCCTACTACACTCTTGCCTTTTTTACCCAGGGAAGTGTAAGTGCTACGCTCAATACGTTGGCAGCTTCAGAACAGAACAAAAAACGCAGTGGCTCAAAAAAGAACTGAAGAAGTGGCAACTGAAAACGTGTTATTTTGAGGCCAACTTAAGAGCATCACCGAAGAATCTTTCTAAATCTCACTCTATAAATTATCAATTATCATTTAGAGAGTCTTGTACCATTCCACTTTCCAATAGTTTTCTATTCTCGTTTTCTATCTTTGGCTAATGAGAAATCTAGGATAGAAGATGACTAAGATATTTTTTCATAAAAAATCTCTATTCATATTAATTAGATTAATCATCACTCATTATTGACTTGAATTATCGCACATGAAGGACATGTGTTTTATTGTTTATTTATTACGTCACAATATAGATTAACCATCACAAACATTATATGAAAACACTAATTCAAATGAACATATATAAGGTTGGTACATACCCACAAAATGAAACTATTACAGCCCATGTGCCAGCTACTGCTTGGACTTCTGCTCTTCCTGGCTGCCTTCGCTGCTCGTCCCTGCAAACCCCCGTCTCTCATCGGCAGACGCTGTTATGACCGGCATCCAGATGTCAGATGTGCTGCTCAGAAGAGACTTCACCTCTGGATCTGAGGCCATGGCAGATGATATCATCTTGTCGACGTTATCAAGCCTCGATGATAGCTTGTCCAGCTCTGCAGCTATTTCTAGCTAAAGAAGGCCAAATGGGAGCTGGTGAGAAAATTCATAATGGTGCATGGTGAAGACAACAATTAAACATGATAAGAGCATCTGCATTTACCTCACTGAGATGCTTAGGTGCCTGCTCTGGTACCTTGGTGACTTCTAATCCTAATGCTTCGATCTTAGCACGCAACTCTACTTCTTCCTGATTGCTCATTGACTCCACCTACATTTAAAAAAAAATCAAATGCCCGTTGTTCATTAATCAGCCAACAGATAAAAGTTTTTCTGTCTTCTGCTACCATAAGTCAGAAATATGAAACAGAAAAGAATAGTTTCCAACTGAACAGACCAGGATTCAGTTTGAAAGACAATGAATGTAAAACAAATCTGAAATGTCAGTGGTAGCAAAATAGCACAACATGGCAACCACAATACCAGAGTATTGCTCTTTATGTATTATGCAAATGAATGCAAGTACAGTACAGAACAAACAAAAACCACCCATTATCATAGAATAAAGATGATGCTAATATGTAATGGGTCCAGTTCAGCATTTCTCACAAGTTTCAACAGGCATTTGAGATAGCCAAGAGTTCAATTCTCTATTTCTCTGCCTTGTGTATGGTGCCAATATGGGTGGGACTTTCCTAAGACCAGCTTCCAATACAAAATAGTTCTCTCTAAGGTGTGAATGGACAGTAACTGGCAAAGTGTTTCCGCTGGCTCCAACAATGTTTGCATTTTTTTTCCTTTTTAAAAATAGGATCAGAGTTATGCTCCTTGTTGAGTGAACTGGCAAAACTAAGGCCCTGTTTGGATTGCAGCTGCTAAATTTAGTCCCTCCTAAATGGTTTAGTCTCATTTAGTCACTCTAGAGTTGCTAGAGAGGACTAAAGCCCTTTTAGTCCTATTTAGTCATAGTGTTTGGGTAAAAAGTGACTTAATGGGACTAGATTTAGGAGCTCTTAGCTGAACCAAACACCCCCTAAATGGCAGATGTCCCAAGTTGTTTTCATCCAGACTGGCTTCAGACATAAACCGACAAGATGAACTAAGCTGGCTCTACCTTGCCATTGGCGGAAGCAAGGGAAACAGCACAGGTATGATTCTGATTATCCCTATTTTGTCTTGTCACGAGTTACGACATAGACTGGCCTGTTCGCTTGAACTTATCAGCCATGGTACAGTGTTTTTCTCCACAACAAATCAGCGAACAATACTTTTCAGCCTGACTTTTCAGCGAAACGAAAAGGGTCTGTCTTGTCACGGCACAAGCAACATGCACACATTTGAAAGGCTGATAGGAAAATATGATTGTTTAGGAACTACAAGGAGTTAGGAACCGAAAGGAATTACACGCAGGAAATCCAGCAGTAACCAGTTGACCATGCCATTAACAGATTAATGCTAGCATGCCCCTTGAGCTATGCATTAGACGCAGTACCGACCGCCACAACTAATTAGGTTTATTTACAAGGGCCTGAGATGACGATACGAGATACACATACACGTGACTCCAATATACGAGACTAATTTGAATGCAAAATTTATTGATGATGCTACCAGTAGTTTGATCCTCCAATAATCGAGATCCAGGAAGAAAAAGTGTGGAACGACGAAAGGCAGCAACGCTCCGACTCGGCGAAATTAGTGCGGCCGCGCGGCAATTCTCCCCGAATCGGCGGCCATGGAAGATGTGAGTCGATTGGCAGATCGGGACCGCGGAGGCACAGCTGCGTACCTGCTGGAGAAGGTCGCTGAGGAGCTGGAACAGCGGCACGTCCGGCTTGGACCCCTCCGCCATCGAGACTCGCCTGTTTCTGTGCTCGAAACCTTGGATTTGTCGGAGGAATTCGCGCTCTGCTCTTGCCCTTCCAGCTCCTCCCTCTCCCGCTCGCTGGTGTTGCCGTGCGCCGGTTGGGGATTTGCCGGGGCTGGATCGGCAGGGAGGCAGTGGCACCCCGTGATTCGTTCGGGAAGACGAAGAGCGGTGCGCGAGCGGATTAGGCCCGAGTTCTCGTTGGGCTTTCCCAGGGCTGAGAGAGCCCGTTACGTTTCCGAGACGGACAGTGCGAGGCCCAGGTTGTCTGGTGAGTTGGGCTGGTCGTGCGAACGGAGGACAGTAGCATGGCCCAGACTGGCGCCACGCATCACGCATCACGCCTGGCATGTCGCGTGGCGCACGTACCGACGTGCCCTGACGAGGATGGACTTTCGAGTGGGGAGGCGGCAGCGGGAAGCGCCGCAGCGGCACACCAGAGCACGTCCGTTTGCTTGTTGGGCGCGTGGAATCCGCGGGGAAGTACCGTTACAACAGGCATCGCGGTGATCCGGAAGCAGCCCTTCGCTTTGGGCGATCCAGTCCAGTCACGGAAATACGATTCCGCCGCCGCAGATGCAATTAGGAGGCGGGCATATGCCCAGATCGGCGGCGGGCGCGCGGGCCGCGGGGTCGCGGGCGCTGCGTCACACTGCAGGGTGCAGGCGCACCGTGTCGTCTGGTGGCGCAGTGGGAGAGAGGTGGCGGCCTGCCCGGGTCGTTAGGCTTTATATAAGCTGATGACACACGGCGGGCTGGCCGATGCCTGATGGGTGGGTTCGCTTGGCTACTTGGCTCCCTCCCGGTCCCGGTCGAGGTGGGAGTTGGGACGAGGCCCTTGTTGTTTAGTTCGTTCAAACTTCTGAAAAATGTACTATGTAAAAAAAAATTTTGTCACATTAAACTTACGGTATATGTATAGAGTACTAAATATAAACAAAATCAAAAACTAATTGTATAGTTTGCTTTAACTTTGCAAGACGAATCTTTTGAATCTAATTAGTCAATGTTTAGACAATAATTCACAAATACAAACAAAATGTCACGATAGAAAATATTCTCTATGTAAAGTTTGCCCGCCAGCTAAACACCCCCGAGGTCACGCTGAGGTGCTGAACCGACGACGCGCAGGCAGAGCAGCCTGCAATGGTAGGCACGCAGACGCGACAAAATGTTTGGCGGGAGTCAACAAAAGAATGTGACGAAACTGATGAGACCATGAGAAGGCGTCTACTGAGTGTCATTTCTTTTCTTAGACTTTCCTGGTTTTTCTTTCTTGTTGTTTAGTAAGTATAAATAAATAAATAAATAAAATAAAAAAGGTGAATACATATGTCTTTAAGTTTAATCAAAGTATTGGGCAATTGTCTGGATATTGAGTTATAAGGGTTTGTTTGGGTGGATGCTTGAGAAATCTGTCTGGACCGAATAAAAGTCTCAAGCGTCGGATTTAAAATGCTTGGGTGAGTGGCGCATCGATTAGGAGGGCCTTCTTTCATTATCTTTTATCTCTACTCCACTTCTTTTAAGTTTCTATGGGTACTAATTTGTATAGGGAAGGATAGAAGGAGCTCCATACTTCGAATAGTGGTAGCAGAGGCTGTAGCTCACTTCACCCCGGAGCTAGATCCACCCTTGTCTGGATCAGAGTTGTTTGCCTGGGGTAGGTGAGCTTGGTAGGGTATGATAACTAAACTCTAAGGCTTGTTTGGTGGCTCTTTTATAGACGCAACATCAGGTCTAGCTGCATTTCTCTCTCACGTGCTACTATACGAGCTCCGTGAAAAGAAAGTATTTAGTAGTACGTGAGAGAGAAGTATTTCAATCATATCATGTTCACTATGTAAGACTGAAACCCATACATCTTTTGTTAGTGCCTACTTGAATGTCGGTGAGCTCACCGGAGCAAATAGATTTGCGCAAGATTCCGTACGTTGAAACCTTAACCATCTTTGTTCCATTTTTCATATTCACTAATAACAAGGTGCCACACCACTATAGAATGATGAGAATGTATATAAAAATAAAAAAATGTTCATTACCCGCATTTCCAAATATAGAATCACGTCTCCCAAGCCCCAACGGTTGGGAAACTCCATTGAACCTTGAACCCACGCCTGCCGGCTGCCGCGTGGCGCACGTACGGTCGCTAGCCGGGTCCGGCAAGCCACGCCTTTGCCTGCCGCGCGGCGTGCCGGCGTCCCGCGTCCGTGGTCCGTGTGGATCACAGGCTCACAGCCAAGCCACGCAATCGTTTGCTTTGCTCCGGGTCCACAGCTCGCAGCGGGCGTGCTCCCCCGGCAGCTGGTCGGTAACGGGCATGCAACGAGCAGCGGGGTTGCCCTGCGCCTCACGGCGTACGACGGCGCATGAACACGCACACGGTCACGGCCGGCACGAGCACGACACGGCACGCGCGGCAGTGCGGCACGGTGGCGCGCCGTCCGGATAGCCCAGCGGCGGGGTAAGAGCTGACGTGCGGTGGTTGTCTGGATCCACGTTTCCACGAGGGGCGAAGGTTCAGTGACGCGGAAGCGTTACCTACTAGCAGCCTGCTGGAAATGGTAGACAGCGAGTTGTATTATAGTGGAGTCAAAAAAAGAAAGCAATGAGGGTATGGCGTCTGAATAAGGTTTCTTTAATTTTCTTTTTGACTCGTCATTGAACGTGATCAGCTATCACAACTTTCGTTGATTTGTTCATTCTGAGCTGAATCTTTAGCAAAGGTTCTTTAAATCATTAACGACTCTTCCTACGGGGTTTTAGACTATTCCCTTTATTACAAAGGGAAAAAAAAAGGCTGAAAGTGTATATATATGCAATCGTGATTATTAATTATTGTACTCTTTATGAGGTGGTGTACCCCGCAAGATAGTTTGCCGGTTTCCTCCTTTTATAAATGGGTTACACATTGTGCATGATTTTGAACGAAAGAAACGTGGTCTGTAATTTTTACATAAATGTCAAAACGGAAATGATTATTTGTGTTGCCTAAAAATGACTAGAATTGTCAGCTAGGAAGCTATGCGATGTTACGTACCTTAACTCAGACACAGCTTAAGACTCGTTAACACAAAAGCATTACTACTCCATTCGTTTCAAAAAAAAAAGTTTGTAGTCTAGCGCTTTGCCCTATCCAAACATTTCTATCTTTAATCATCAAACCTTATAAGGGTAAAATACAATTTTAAACTCCAACTTACATGATATGATGATAGTCCAATCTTCGATCTTAAACTACAAAACCGGGTAATTTGGTACCTTCCAACTACCAAAATGAGACAAATTTGGTCCTCTTATTGGTTTCAAAGGTGGTTTTCTATTCTATAAAAATTATAAAAATCTGTTAAATTCATAAATAATTTATCTTAAAACAAAAACATATGAACTAATACACTTTAGAAAATGCTATCTACCAATTTATGGTCTATATATAGTTATTTGAAATTGATTTATCTATGTTGCTATTGCTTTTTTTGCTCATAGTCGTGCTCATTTTTTATTTAAAACAAATTAGGTCCAAATGAATTTTTTTAGAAGAAAAGGGTACTAGTTTTATTTTTTATTTAAAATGAAATAACTATGAATATTTAGAGATCGTTCAATATATTTAGTACTCTTAGAAAATAGAAAGACCAACATTGAAATCCACTAGAGGATCAAATTTCTCTGGTTTTGACAGTTATATGGTGTCTATTACTTGATTTGGTAGTTCAAAGTTGAAAATCGGACTGACGTGCAACTTGGGGCTCAAAATATACTTTATCTTTCCTATAATTTTGTGTAATTCAACAACATGTCAAATTTATATATTGTGAGACATTTCTTATGCTGACTCCAAAACATAAATACTGTGGTGTTGAACTATAGGAATTTATAACAAAATGATGTTAAAAATAGAAATGTTTGGTTTTGGATAAAACTAAAACAACCGAGAAAGTACCGAGAACAGTAGTACTTTTTATGGTGAGCTATAACAAGCGAAGTCGAAGATCCATGGAAATTAGTTGTTTTTGTCTAAAGATATAACTATCACAACTCATGAAAACTGTTAGTTGTTTTTGTCTAAAGATATAACTATCACAACTCATGAAAACTGTTTAGTCTATTTTTTTTATTTACAATGAGAAGCACGCAGAAGCAATGCGTCAATGCCAGAAGAAGAAGCTAGAACATTTTCAATAAGCTCGTTTTTAAACTTGTTTATCTAAGAGAATTTTAAAATACTATCCAATTTACTAATAACGTTAAAGCCATGTTCGTTTCCTACGAACTGAGATGGATTATGAAGGGATTTAATAATAAAATGGGAAACACTTTTTAGACATTAGGTACTGTTTGTCTCGGTGCTTTTTATCCTGTAACTGTTTGCGACGCGACTCCGATACGGACGCTCGAAAGGTTGTTACCGCCCACATCCAGGCTTTATCCATTTACATTGCTCGCGGGTCGTCGCATGCGGCAACCAAACAAATAGCGCTTTTCATTGTAGATAGCGGCGACAGCTCTTTCTATTTACGTTACCACTCCGTACGTGAAACCAAATAGCACCTTAGTTTCAACTTAAGGCAACGTATCATGTGTAAATCAATTAACCTATGTAAACTTGAAAACTACTGATCAGGACAATTAGATGTTGATCCATTGAATGAGGTAAGGAGGTTTAAGCGCAAAAAAAAAGGCAACGGGTGGGGGGCTTAAGCACAAAAAAAAATCCCACATCTCACCCTATCAATTAGATCAACATCTAGTGGTTCTAATTGGTAGTTTCTAAATTTACACAAGTTGACTGATTTGCATCTGATACGTTGCCAAGATCCAAATAAGCTTAAAAAAAAGTAGTGATACCCATCATACAACACACGCTTGTGTCTGAAGCAACAAAATGAAGTAAGACATGTAATAACTTAGTAAAGTAAACTAATTGTACTAGTTAGCCCCGTTCGTTTGTAAGAGTTTGGAGGAATTTAGATGAATTTATGGGAGGAAAATACTGTTCTAGATGAAAAAAGAAGCGGATCAAGCCGGATTTAAGGGCACGTAAACGGGGTCTTAAACAACAAATTGTCGTCACGTTGAGAGCACGTCAGAATGAAATCAATTTAAGACCCCGTTTGGCAGGGCTTCACTTCACTAGTGAAGCCATTTTTTTTTGCTTTAGCTTCACGAAACGAGCTTCCACCGGTGGGTCAAAGCGGTTTTAGTAAACCGTTTTGAAAATGGCTTTCCTGTGAAAGCATGTTTTTAGAAGCGCGGAGGAGGGCGGGAGAAGTCACTTTTTTTTTTCCTCCATCCCATCCTAAATCATTGTGAGAGTATATTTTAGAAACTTTCTGGTAAAAGTTTATTTCACTTTACCTTGCTTTTTTGTAATGACGGCTCCAAACGGCTCTGAAGCTGGTAGAGAAGCCATGCCAAGGGACTAAATTAAACGACAAACGTAATCGTTGTCCCCCAAAAAATAACCCGATAAAAAGGGGAATTCGTGCGCCCTTTGCCGTTTGCTTCGTAGCGCACCCAACGAGAAGGCGTCCCATGGCGGCACAGCCCGTGCTCACCCGCAACCGCACGCACCCCTCCCTGCTCGATCTGAGCCGTCCGTAGCCCGCGGCCCCGGATCCAGCCGTCGGCCTCCCTCCCACCTCCCTTTATATACCCGCCTACCGCTGCCCCGTCCTTCCTAGACTACGCCGTCTCTTTCCTCCTCCCTCTCCACCTCTTTCTTCCTCCCCAAATTCAGATCAAACGAATTCGTTAAATAATCTCAGAAAACACACGATTAACGGGATCGAAGGGATTAAAACGAAAACGTTCCGATCCTGTGATCAGGTCTCGGGGCTAATCGTGTGATTTTTGGGGGGTGTTTGGGCTTGTGATTTAGTGTTAGGGTTTCGGATCTGGAGGATTAGTTCTTCCGACTTCCGAGTCAGACGACCATGAATGAGCAGATGATGCGACCTCCGGCGCCGCTGCCGTTCCACCAGATGTGGGCGGCGGTGCCGGCGGCTCCCCCGCCGGCGATGGAGCCTCCGGTGGCGGGGTTCAAGCCGGCGCGACCGTCGTGGAAGCGGTCGGCGCGGACGCCCTGGAAGCGCAAGGCCCAGCCGCCGGCGTCGTCGGTCGGCGCGGCGGCCCCGCGCAACACGACGTCGTTCCTGATCCGTGCGAAGCGGGCCGGGGGCGTGGCGTCGCTGGTTTCGCCGTACCCCGTGACGCCAGCGGTGCTCCCGACGCCGGTCCTGTCGCCGGCGCGGGAGGTGCTGGTTGAGATGGCCAAGGAGGCGTGGGGCGTGGACGGGTACGGGTCCATGAAGGGCCTCATCCGCCTCCGCGCCGATGCCGGGGACGCCACCGGCGACGACTCGGGCTCCGGCGAGAGCGACGTGGAGGAGCACGTCGAGGTGGAGCGCCGCCTGGACCACGACCTCAGCCGCTTCGAGATGATCCACCTCCCGGACGCGGCCGCGGCCGCCCTGGGCGTCGGCGGGGAGGACGACGACGAGGACGAGGAGGCGCGCGCCGCGAGGCTGGAGGAGGAGAACCTGACCCTCCGGGAGCGCCTCTTCCTGATGGAGCGCGACATGGACGACCTCCGCCGCCGGCTCCTGGCCGTCGAGGAGCTCTGCCGGGACCGCCACAGCGACGGCTGCGTGGTGGACGCCGCCACCGCCGCCGTCGCATCCCCCGGCGCCGGCGAGGAGGCGGACACGGTGGACGCCATGGCCATGGAGAAGTGAAAGCATACAGTACCTGCTACCTGACCAGACAAGGCCCTCTCGGCCGTACTACTGAAACTGTACATACGGTTTCCATTTCCCTGTGCAGATGTCGCTGTGAAGAGTAGGAGGAAGAAGCAGCAGCAGCAGCTTAGAAAGCTTAGAGTTACTCTTCGTTCGTTGCATCTTGTAGTTTGATATCGTCTAGCTTGATTTCATTTCACGTTCTTGTAGAAAGAATCATCAGTCCGGAAAGCCCGTGGACGAGACGACGATGGAATGTGCGGGGAGGAACACGAGATCCTGGTGTCCTCCTGCTCGTCCAGATCCTCAACCACTAGTCCAAACTCTTACCAGCTTTTTTTAGTGCAGCCAGTAACCTGTTGTTTTGTTGTGAAGAAAATTGTTATTCCGAAATGTTCTTTGTTTCGTACTCCAATCTCTGCTGTGATATTCTGCGGTCACGGATTGTTCGGTGATTGGGTAGGGTTGGTAGATGCGCGGTGGCGCCGGACTGGAGCATCTCTGCATCCGATTGACACCAGCCGTTGGAAAACCCAATCACAAAATCTTTTTAGTTGTTCGTGTCCGGTGTGTGCCCAAGCCTCTCAAAGTGCCGCAGTTGCGGGTGGCCGGTAGGGTGGGTGCTGAACGGGGATGGATGCCTTCAATGCCTTTTACTTGTATCACTATGAAAGTGGCCCCGTTCGCTTGACAGAAAAAAGAAACCAAAACACTGTAGCGACCGGTTACGTAAGAGAAATCTTAAAAATTTGGTTGATGAATAGTCTTGCATTGTGAGGAGGAACCAACCGGTGGTGCGGAAACCGATCAAATGACGGCACCATGGTTCTAACCTATAGACCGCTAAAAAATTCGAACATACTCTAGTGCCATGACGCTAAACTTTTTTTTTTCTTCTACGCCGTTCCGTCTATTTTGATCTCTAACGGTGTCAAACAGATCGATGAAATAACCATTTTACCCTACTGGTGGGACCCATTTGTCGCCCACTCAAACCTTCCTCTCTCTTCTCTACTCAGACGCCACTTACGGCGAATTGATTGGCGCTTGAAAGGCGCGCAATGCATTGGGCATCCCGGCCAACACGACCGGCGCCCGACCATCGCTTCTGCGGCATGTGGGCGAGCTTAGCTCACTCCGCCAGATGACTGGCGCAGGCGTCTTGTGTGAGCACCGCATCCACCATGATCATCGCCGTGAGCGTCTGCGGTGAAAGCACGCAGTGTAAGGCTGCTGGCCGCCCCATCTCGAGCCTCTCCGTGGGCCCTTGCCGCCACAGGCGAGAAGAGGAGGAGAGAGAGCCACGATCATGAGCCGCATGGACCGTCGACGCCACTGAAGCCATGGGCGCAGCTGCCAGCGCCCGCTCCGCGCCAGCAGACGCAGCGGGCGGTCTCTCGATGCCGCCAGACCGGCCCCGCCATGAAAGCACCCCACCCCATCCGTGGTCGTCGTGGGGCCGTCCTTCTTTGAAGCTTGAGCGGCGGCGGCGAAAAAGTGTGGAAGCTTGAGCGGCCGTACCGATGGGAGGAGTTGAGGGCGCGCGCGTCGGCGGGCAAGAAGAGGCGGGCCCGGCAGCAGGGAGGCATGAGCGGAGGGTGTCGGCGTGATTAGGATTCAACGCCGCCGAGCTTCCTTCCCCATCCTCGCAAACCGATTGCGCCACAAAGACGGCGAGCAGCGGGGACCCGCATTCTTCCCAAGATACATGGCCAACATGGAGTCGTCACACACGCCGCAAGGCGGCGTCGCTCGTCGGCGTCAAGAGGCGGGCTGGCGGCCGCTGACCTCGCCGTCGCGTCCCGTCATCTTCGCGGCGCCGCCGAGCCCTTGCGGCCACCAGACTTATCTCGGTTCGAGCATCAAACGAATCGACGACGCGTGGTGCGCAGCTCGTCCTCCACCGGCGCCGAGCCCGGACTCCGCCGCTCTCGGCTCCGGCACGCCACCCCTGGACTTCGTTGCCGTCCTCGGCCTCCGTCACCGCCCACCGCCCACCGCGAGCTCTGGTGGTACGGGTGGCGTTGGGAGACACGACACGAGCTCCGAGTGGCGCAGAGCTCGGCGGGAGGGCCTTGGCCGTGACGGAGGAGAGCGCAAGGCGGCGCCGTGCGGCGAAGTCTGCGAGGTGGAGCCGCGGAGGGCTGGGAGATGTGAATGAAATGATTAAAAAATCTAAAAACGAGTGGGACCCATCAATCAATCAACTGGTGAGATAGGGCCAGTGGTCAGAGTGCATGCCGCGCTGCGTTTGGGAAAGAGGAAGGACAGGTTGAATAAACAAAGAGGGGTATTTTGGACATCTTCACTGGTTGGACCCACGTGTCAGGGCAGTCCAACGGTGAAAAATCAACGGAGGTGGACGGAATGGCGTGGAAGGTAAAAAAGTTTAACATCCTGGCACTAGGATGTGTTCAAACTATTTAGTGACCTGTAGACCAGGACCATCTTTCGTAACGGCACACATGTAAAGGCTCAATGTTCAATGCCCGTCCGGTTGGATTTGCTAGTGGTAAGGTGTGCCGTGCAGGCCGGCACCGACTGGGTGGCTGGGCGAAAATGGGCGACGGACGCCCCGTGCGCTCCGAGGAGGGGAGAACCGGAGAAGTGGTGTATGGCCGGGAGAATATAGCATCGGGAAAGCCATTGGCTCGAGGAAGTTGCTGAAAGCTCTGACTCGCCTTGGAGCCGGCGAGACCGGGACCTTCACATTTTCTTTTTTCTTTTAAAGGAAAACCTTTGAATATTCGCCTGGCTTTCTATTTATTTTCCTTCTCTCAGCTCTGCTAAGATTCGGCGCCAAGATTACCGACTTAGTTTTTTGTTTGTTTTCAAGTAAGTATAAAAAGAACACCGTTCACAGTATTTTCGTTCTGTTCGCCTGGTCCTGGTCAGAACTCGGAACACACCTTGACAACCCCCAAATGGAACGATCGCAGCAGAACGCACGAAGCATGAGCCAGATGGTAGCACGTAGCAGGCCCAGATCACAGCACAGCGTTCCCAACACCACCAAGGACGGGGCCTGCACCTGGACGACAGCTCTGCTCTGACGCGACGAATCCAAGGCCTTGTTTAGATGCCATCTAAATTCTAAGTTTTTTCACTCTCTCTTCATCACATCAATTTTTAACCGTTTGTATAGAGTATTAAATGTAGGTAAAAAAAACTAATTACACAGTTTAGTTGGAAATCACGAGATGAATCTTTTGAGCCTAGTTGATCCACGATTGGACAATATTTGTCAAATAAGACGAAAGTGGTACTATTCATCGAGTTAAAAAGATTTGCAAAGTGAACAAGCCGCAAGCTCCAAACCAAGCAATCATCATGCTGTTCATGTGCTCGAGCGCGCGTGGCGGTTGATGCGATCCAAACTCCAAACGGCTCGATCGTATGTGCCCGTGCGCGCGTGGCCGGTTGATGCGAGCCAAACTCCAAACGGCTCGATCGTCGGTTCACCGACGACAGGAACCGAGCGGCATGGAGATGGAGCGCGGCCGCACTAAACGCAGAGTAGCTTGTGACTCTAATCGGCAGGCCCACACCCAACTTCCTATATTCAGCCTGTTCGCTAACCCGATTAATACTGGTTTGTTGTGAGAAAAAACATAATTAGCTAGCTAATGAATCCTGACTAAATCCAACGAGCGAACACTGATTGATTTTGATCGACTCGGCTGTCCATTCCCAAGAGGTACGTGACGTAGCAGATTGCCAAAACAATGTGCTGCACCTGGTTGTCCATTCCCAAGAGGGACGTGACGTAGCAGATTGCCAAAACAATGGGCTGCACCTGCACCTCCTCGGATAGATAGAGATCACCGTAACGTCCCTGCGTACAAGTTGGCTAGCAGTAAGCCAGTAACAGGTTTTTAGCGCGCATGGAGATTTTGGAACTGCGCTGGATCGACATCAGCACGTACCTAAAACCTAGCAAGAAAATTTTGTCCTGCCACAGCGGAAAAATTTACGATATGATATGTGTTTTTTATTTCAAAGCGCGAGTAAATCGATCGTATATACTCGGAGTAGATTATAGAGTGTATGGGGAATGAGAACGCACATTACCAGTACTAGGATGGAAGTGACGATGGAATGGAACGATACAATAATAGATGTCAAAGTACAGAGTTGACCTTGCGACCTCTTGCTTTTCTTCTATAAATTATGGCCCTCGCTTTGTCACCGAAGGAGTAAGATAAGCATCTTATTCTCGATGTTTTGTTATTTTGTTTGTGGTATTGCAAGTTCAGTGCGACATCCCGTTTACAGACCTACCTGTCGAGCTGTGGCTGGGCGCAGGAAGATGGCCTGCCTACCTGCCGCACAACGCAGCTTTTCCAGCTTCCAAACTTGGTGCTAGAACAAATGCTGGAAGCAACCTGTCTGTCCTGCCGATTATTCTGCTCCAAATTAAGGTATTTATGCATTTTGGATGAAACTGAAGAATGAATCCCATGTAGTTGCAGTCGGTCTCAGCGCCACGCTAAGTTATTTAAGCTTATTTGCCACGCTGGTCTCTCTATCATCCTGGCAACACAAGCAAACGGGCTGGCTTAGAGAAGTAGGGAATAAAAGTCTATATAAGGAGGCAGGCCTTACTTGCATTTGGCAATGCGTGTACAATATAATGCGTTGGTGGAGTCAAGCACGATTTGTACGTCTTCCAACCTGAAGAGCGAGCTCGGTGTCTATCTTGAGAGAGATGTCAAGTGCCTTCACAGAATGTGTTAATGCTCCACTGGAACAAATCAAACAAGTCGTTGAACTAACTGTATAATGATTCCAGCAAGGGGTTGTAGTTGTACATTAATTCGAAACACATCAGAGACCTAAACACCAGACAAGCTCTGTCCCATCAAATACAAGTTTAAATCAGTCAGAACCCTGAAAAAGAAATAGTACCTTGAAATATAGGTGACTCCCGTTTCTCCAATTTTCTTTACTGTATCAACTGTCACATTTCCAGACGCCTGCAGAAAATAAATATATTA